AAAAAAAAAAAAAAAAAAAAAAAAACCTGTACCACTACAACCCATGAAGGGTCTGGGGTTCAGTACTATTTAGGGAAAGCACTGTTTCTAGGTCCACGGTTGTGCAAGGAGGTGATTTGACCGAGATCACACTCAACCGCCAGGTTTTCCCTCTTAATCAATTATTTAATTAAGGGTACCCACTTTATAGAGGCTGGGTGTGCCCCAGGAGGGACTCCTGACCCAAGGTCGCCCCACGGCCAATGAAACAGATAATTAAATTTTCTGCCATGAGCCGGGGTTCGAACTCGGGACCTTTGCATTGGAAGCTCAGTGCCCTACCACTGAGCTACCCCGCTCCCCCAGAAACATAAAAATACACCCTTATATCGAATAAGTCAAAAAAACTCAAATAAGTTGAAACGCAGTGGCGTAATCATAAAATAGAGGTCATTTTCAGAATCTACGGTTCCAAAAACATAAAAGTAGACCTTTAAATTGGATAAATTCGAAAAACTTAAATAAGTCAAAATGCAATGGCGTAATCATGAAATGGAGGTCATTTTCAAAATCTACGGCTCAAGAAACATAAAAGTAGACCTTAATATTGGATAAATTCGAAAAAACTTAAATAAGTCAAAACGCAGAGGCGTAATCATAAAATGGAGGTCATTTTCAAAATTTACTGATCGGGAAACATAAAAATACACCCTTATATCGAATAAGTCAAAAAAACTTAAATAATTCGAAACGCAGTCACGTAATCTTAAAAAGGAGGTTATTTTCAAAAACTCCTCATACGATAACAGACCCACATATCGAAAAATTAAAGATAATTAAATAAATAAAAAAGGTTGAATTTGAAATGGAAAAGGTTTAATTTGAAATGGAAAAGATTGAATTTGACTTGGAAAAAGTTTAATTTGATTTGGAAAAGGTTGAAATTGACTTGGAAATGCTATAGAATAAAAACTAACAAGAAACAGAGAGACCAATACGGAGACCCAGATTTGGTTTGGTGTTTCAAGAAAGGAAGGGTATGACGGTAAGGACATGTACACCGAATGAACCATCAAAGGCTCCCAAGAAAGATAATAGAGGGACCTCAGGATGGTAAAAGAGGTGGTCAGAAGATGTCGAGGTTGACCTATGGCTTCTGGGAGTGACAAAATGTACTTAGAGCTGCAGAGGATCGCTCTGAGTGGAGGAGAATTGTTGAGGATGCCAAGGCCCTTGATGGACCGTATAGCACCATCAGAGTTAGTTAGTATATATGTGTGAGCATATGTAATAAATATATATATATATATATATATATATATATATATATATATATATATATATATATATATATAACAGGTACCTTTACTGGCTCGCTCGGCAGAAGAAAGCAGCGGGGAAAATAAAATATATATGGTTCTCCGGCAGCAGACTGCGGTGTCGAAAGGATGACGGTCATCAGGTTGTCTATATCGACCAGAGTCAAGATCTAGATGTCTTCGATTGACTCTTCGATCCCTGTTTACTTCTTAACACCGACAAAAAATTTGGCATAGTTTACAGGACTCAAATTGAAAATCAGGATTGTATGTTATGTTTCTATTGCAACTTTTTAATTAATTTATTTCTTTTACATATCTTTTTCTTTTTAATGGTTTTTTTTTTCTTATATTTCAATTTTTACAGTATTTCATATAATGTATCATATCCGGTCCAGCGTCTGCTCATCAAATTCTGACTATATTTTTCTCAAGCCTAATCATGTCTAGCATCCTTAATACCCGTCACGTCAACTCCCAATCCCTCCCAGCCCACTATGATGAATTCCTTGAATACTTTACCCATAATTTTTACCATATCATTGCAATTTCCAAAACCTGGCTCAAGCCTTACATCCCTTCCTCATCTGTTTCCCTTCCTAACTACACACTAATCCGCCAAGACCGGACGAGCCGGACTGGCGGAGGTGTAGCGTTGTATGTTCACGAATGCCTGAAGACCCGAATACTCCACTGCTCTCCTCCATCCGATCACCCACATGTAGAGTTCCTAATCGCTGAAATTTCCTTTGATACATCTCCTATCCTTTATGTCGTAGTGTATAGACCTCCTCTTGTTCCCTTTGATCCATCATTTGAATCATCCCTCTTCAACTTTGTTCCTCTTTATACCAAAATAATCATCTCCGGAGACCTAAACCAGCGATAAATCATACCTCGAAAACCTTTTTTTCTCTCTTCATCTTTTCATTGTTCCTTTTTCGTCTACTCATCACACCCCCAGGTCCGATACCTGGTTGGACCATTACATTATCGACTCCACTCAGAACCTCCTTTCCTCCTCACAAGTACCAGTCTCCTTTTTATCCTCTCATGACCTAATCCAATATAATTTCATATAATATCCATACTCCTCCGATCCTACCTAGAACCATAACTTTCCATAATATTGATGTCCTCACTCGTGAAAAAATCTTACCCTACCTGTAAACCCTTGATTGGAATGGAATATATTCCTGTTCATGTATTGACTCTATGGTTGATATTTTAACTTCCAACCTCCTTAATATCCTTGATGCCCATGCTCCCATCAAAACCTCTACCTTTCATCGTCCCCCGGCTCCCTGGATGTGTCAGCAAATTAAATATCTTCAGAAGAGACATGATGCAGCCCGCAGACGCTTTAGACGCACTAGGCTCGCTGACGACTACCAAGCGTTTAGGGTGCTCCGTAACCTGACACAAACCAAAATCCAAGGAGCCAAATCCTCCTATTTCCACGAAGCCCTTTCAGCAGCTCCTGATTCCAAAACCAAATGGCAACTCCTTCGTAAACTCTCCCTCTGTGATTCTTCCAGATCACCTTCCGCAGCAGTCTTTCCAGTCAAACCTGATGATTTAAATTCATATTTTATATCAGCTTCCTCCTGCATTCCTCCATCAACATCTTCCTTCTTTACTCCTGGAATATCATTTAACGAATATCATTCTAACCTCGCAAAACCTCTAGAACGAATAGTCCAATCCCAAGTTTCCAACTTCCTAGAACAGTCCAATCAACTTGACCCTTAACAGTCTGGTTTTCGACCAGGCTACTCCACACAATCCGCCCTAATCAAAATCGTTAGTGATGCTCAGTCGGCCATAGATGATAAAAAACTAACTGTCCTTATCCTCCTAGACTTTTCCAAAGCCTTTGATACCATTAACCATTCCATCCTTTTCTCCAAATTGAAATCGTTATCCTTTTCCAACAGCTCTATCCTTTGGTTTCAATCATTCCTCTCTCAACGTACCCAAGCAGTCTCTATCCCCAACCAACCTTTATCATTCTATCTAACTCTGTCCTCAGAAGTGGCACAGGGCTCCAGCATATCTCCTCTCCTTTTTAGTTCATATATTAACGACCTTCATAAATCAATCCTTCACTGTTCACATCACCTTTATGCCGATGATTCCTAAATTTACCTCTCCTTTGCTCCCTCCGAATGGCATTATGCGTTTGCCAAAATACAAGAAGACCTAGATCGGATTTGTGCCTGGGCAAGTGAAAATGGATTAAGGTTAAACGCTGCTAAAACTCAAGCCATTGTCATCGGTTCCAAACCCCTTCTCAGATCAAATACCAACATTCCTCTCCTGTACCTGAATGACCAACCCATCACCTTCAACACTTCAGTTAAAAACTTAGATGTTATCATAGATCAAACCCTCTCCTGGAATCACCATATTTCCCTCATATCCCGACGTTCAATTTCCATCCTGAAACTCTTCCATCGCTTCCACCATCTCCTACCCATGTCCACACATAGACTCCTAGTATCCGCCCTCATCTTCCCCCACATTGACTACGGCTGCGTAGTGTACGGTGGCCTCTCATCGGAACTTGGAGTCAGACTGAAAAGAATAATGAATGGCTTAGTACGATTTATCAATGGGACCCCGAGACGTTCTCATGTTTCCCACTACTACGCCGAGTCAGGGCGGCTCTTTCCCTCCTTCAGAAGACAGTACTTCCTAGGTACATTCCTTTACCAAGTAATCTATAATCATCGTCCGTCCTACGCATTCAATCTCCTTCAATTCAAGTCATCTATCCACTCCCTCTCCACAAGATCTCGTCCTTCCGACCTTTATACCCCTTTCCACAAATCGGCCTCATTTCAACACTCCTTTATTGTCCGATCCACCACATTTTGGAATTCCATCCCACTTAAAATCCGCCATGCACCATCCTTATCCACATTTAAAACCCTCTTATTCCAATTCCTCCTTACAATTCAATCAGACGCTGGGTAGCCATTTATAATGTATATCATATATGTATATAATCTCCCCTATATGTATACTATCTTTTCTTTTCTCCAATAAATCAACATCATAGGATTTAGATTATACAGAACTTGTATAATGTGTACAATACTATTATTGTATTCCTCGAACATACTATTATTCTTATAACATCTTTATTATTATTTTTTTTTTTTCATTAATACAATGACATGACAACAAAAGTTATTTGTCGCTCATTTATAATTTCATAGATTATTGTGTATAGCAACTATTTTGCAGTATTAGGACCTTATTGCTCATATTAAGTCTTACTATATCTGTACAGTTATGTAAATACTTCTTTTATCCCTTATTTTTTAGTTGTTTTTTTTTTGTTTGTTTGTTTTTGTTTATTGTAATATACATTTTGGCCAGATATAATGTTAATTTTATGTACAATATTGTTATTCTCAAGGGATGTAGTCCCAGAATAAAGTTGATTCTTCTATTCTATTCTATATATATATATATATATATATATATATATATCAATAACACAAATTAATATTTGTTTTAAATTAGAAAATATCTGAAAGACATTAAAATCGGATATTAATATAAAAATGGAAGTAAAAACAAATATTAATCTTATAGAACACTAGGTAATAGATGGGCAGAAGAAACTTAATAATTTCTGTAAGTAATTTGTAGCTTTGATAAACAATAAAAAATAACATTGAAATTACTTACTCTAACGAATCAAGGAAAAATTCGTAAGTCTCAACTTTTGTTATATCCATATGATGCGTTTCAATAATTACATCGGGATTTATTGATGACAATGTAAGTCCAGCTGCTTCCACTTTTGATAACCCTATGTGACGAGGCTGGTAAAAGAGTCTATTCATATTCGACCACTCTACTTGATCATAGTCAAACAAAATAATCTAAATCAAGCAAAAATAACATTACACACAAAAATAAAGGATTCTTTCAAGGCTTATTTAGAGAAGTAAAAAAATACATCACTACACATCAGAAGGAAGAACTACTTAGTTTATTCATGTTAGAAGCTAAAACAAAATTTGTCAATGCTAACAATGATTGATTAAAAAAAAAAAAAGAGTTTAATGGCTCATACTCTGTTGTTATCATAATTTGTAATTTTAGTTTTTTCTTGATGAATAATGAAAATATTGATTTAAATATTCTAATTCTTAGAAACTTTGTCTCTTGGTCAGTTAAGAACAAATGAAATTCCAGGAATATTTTTTAAATAAATGCAGTAATTCTAATATAAATTATAAATGTTGAAAACCCCAATCTTCCAAAAAACAAGTAAATAAAATAATTATAACAGGCAAAATGTTTACATAGAAAAACTGCATTTTAACTAATGAACAGTACTCAACCATTTTTCATGATTTCAGTACTTTTGTAAGAAAAATTACTGAAAATATTAACACAGCCTGCTACCTTTATCAGCATAACCTTTAAATTTGCTTAAGTAAAGCTTGTGAATAATTAAGATAAGGCTTGATATAATTTTCGTGTATTTTAAAATAAAAAACATATGTTAGCTATCATCTGTTCTTAACGTGACAAATTTGTAATAATAAAAGTTACTTGTTATTGAATCTATATCTGAATCCTTTTGTGTACTTTTGAACTAGCCCAAAGTTAACTCACATCCTGCTACCTTCATTAGCATAACCTTTAACTTTGCTTCCAGCTGAGTGGAGAAGGAAGTGGGTTATGAAGAAAAAAAAAATTAAAATAATAGTTGTTAAAGAGAAGAAAAGGAAACATAGACAAAAGATAAGCGATTGATATAAGTTTGATCCTATTTCCTTCCTAGTACCTCTTTGATAAGTAGATTGTAAGCCCACATTTAAACGAATTAAACAATGACATATTGAATTAAATAGGACAGATTAAAAATGTCTGAGAAAGAGGATCTTTTGGTATTTACGAAGTCTTGAGGAACACAATTCAATTTATTAACTTCATGGATCATATATCTCTGATGGGTCTCAAAAAAAATCCTCAAGTTCAGAAACAGTTTTTATCAAAACGATTTCAGTATCTTTCTCTGATTCAACTAACACATCCTAAAGACTAATCTCTAAAACATATAACAACCAAATTCTAAAAAATGCCACCTCTCCTTCAAATCCTAACTTGCAGGCCAATCTTGAGATCTTTCCCAGGTCTAGACATATCAGCTTTTGCATATTGATTTAATATGATGTTTCGAATTTTTGATGTAGAGGTTCATTACTATATCATTGGTACTACTACCAGTAGATACTGGTAATAAGATTATTTCGAGTGCAGAATTAATATTAAATTTATACTATTCTAAATATTCGGACCGAAGAAGGATGAGTTAACGGGAGAGTTCAGACGGTTACACAACGCCGAATTGCGTGAACTGTATCCGGGTAATATAATTGAGGTAATTTCATCGCGGCGAATCAAATGGGCTAGTAAAGTTGTTGGGCTTAGTAACGAGAGAATTCCTAAAAGGTTAATTTTTGCTATGCCGAATGGTAAGCGTCCGAGGGGTAGACCGAAGCGAAGGTGGGAAGATTGCATTAAAGCCGATCTGAAGGGACTGGGTTTGGAAGGCGAATGGTGGAGGGAGGTGTGTAATAAGCGATTGGTGGTGTCGGCATCGGACCTTTGGGTTCGCTAAGCCTTTTATTATTATTATTATTACTATTCTAAAAACCTAGGCCTTTAAAAACATATAAAGGATTGCCGAAGATATCTGAAAAGTTGGACAAATTGATATACAAGCAATTAATCTAAATTTTGATAGTATTTTTAAAAACTATGCCTCTCATAGCATAATAATTTACTTTAATATTGAAGAAATAAAAAAAATTACATCAAATCGATCCGCATCTGTAATCTTAAAATTGCTATACTCAAAGACATAAGAAATAAAAAAATGAATATTGCAAACATTTGATTTTCAATATGTACGATATAAGTTACCTATTAAGGGAAATATTTGCACTGGTTTTATTTACACCGGTGTAACCTTTTTGCCCATACAGTAGGCACGTATATTTTCCAAATTCAAATGTGATTTCTTTCAAAATAATGTCAAACAGTCCAGCGTTTGAAAATATTTCCATAAATCACTTGTTCTATCTCACCAATTGTAGAGGCATTACCTTTCCTTAACACTAAAAGGCAGATTTGAAATCAGACCCTATGTACAGATGAAATGGTGGTAAGGCTCTAGATGAGTCGATGGCAAAATGTTATTGATATTTACGAATCTCTAGGAAGTTGATAATCCCCTAAGATTTGTTCCTAACTTACGGTGATCTATCTTCTTCTGGACTTCAAAAGTTATGATCAAGCAATCAAATCATACCGAGTTCACGTAACTTTTGATAGTTATGTAAAACTATCTATAAAACATTGAGAATTGGTATAACACAGATTTCAGGGGGCACAGTTAATTGGGGATTTTTCAATTTAATCTGTCAGATTGACCAAAATTTGCCTTAAATCTATGCAAATGTTGATAGATTGATAAAAATGGTCATCAGGAGAAACTTCAATTAATAAATCCCAATTTTTTCCATACTGCTCCTCTTGTAATTTGTGTTACATTCTGGAATGGTTTACTGCAATAGAGGTTATTTTGAATCTGACACCATTGGATTTAGAGGTGAAAGCACATGCCCTCAGAACTGCCTATAGATTGGATAAACTGGGAATGAGATCGAAATTCCTGACATTTCAGGGTCATGGGATCGTTTTTGATAGGATTGATAGCAATGGGGTGATTGCGATGAATTTTGACCTTCAAGTTGATAATTATAGAGATATATTATATAATTTAAAGATGAATAAATTAATGAATGAAATGAATGAAAATAATTTTATTATTCTGGGACTAGTGTCCCTTTAGAACAAGTCACAAATACAGAATATATGACTATATATAAAGATAGGCAGGAATAACTCATATAGACCATGGAATGGAGTTAACTGTTATACCGACAGATCCAAGGATCAGAGGCTGGCATCTGGAGAAAGGATAAACCTAATGAGGGAATATTCATATCTCTAGGTTTGCATTAGCCAAAACTTTGTTATACAATATATGGCTAATTTTTTTTCTTCTGAAAGAGAGAGGTGATAGGTCTGAAGGGACACAAAGACTAAGAGTTGGACTCGTCCTAAAGGCTCCAGTAGCGAGGCAAATTGCTGCACTGAGTCAAGTTTGGCAAGAGTACTTTTACGAGCAGTTATAAACAAAACTGCAATAATCTATCTTAGAAACTATTAATGCTTGATACTTTTAGCATTGTAGTCCTATCCGCTCCCCACTTTGTCCTGTTAATATCTTAAGTTTTCTTTCAATGATTTAATGTGATGTTCCCATGAAAGAGGCCTATGTAATAATAATCCCAAGAATCTACAATTGTCAGAGTATGGTAATATAAAATCTCCTAGATAAAGGTCTAATGGTTGTAGCGTTTTTCGTTTTGTCGTGTCTACTGAAGTATACACATTTTGTTTTGTCAGAGGAGAATTGCAATTGTGATGATTTAGACCAACTATCAATTAGATAGAGTGTATTTTGGAGTTCCTTTTTTATGGAAGGGATATTCTTTGTTCTGTATAGTATTGCGAAATCATCAACAAAGAGCATCACTTTAACTCCACATGGTAGATTTAATCCACGATTGCTGATGGTCAAAGCGATTAGGGTTGTACTTGGGACACATCCTTGAGGCACCTCCTCCCCCCCCCCACCCTGAAGAACAGAATTTGTACTGCATGGACAACAATGTTCCAATTCGGAGGAGAAAAGAACATAAGAAAAAAAATTCTTGGATGAATTTAGGAGGGGTACCTCTAAATCCTAACGAATGAAACTTTCTTAGAATTAGGTATTTGTTGGTTTTATCAAAGGCTTTGTGTGTGTTGAAGAAAACAGCAACTGCTTCCCCTTCTTGAAAAAAACATACTGTAATTCAGCCTCCTTTTGAACTAGGTGATCTATTGTCTATTGTAGAATCCACATTGGATGTTTTGAATGAGCTGGTATTTTTCTAGGAACCATGTGAGCCTCTTGTTCACCATTCGTTCCATTATCTTACATGACATCTGGTCAGAAAAATTGGTCGAGAACTGGGATAGATGGCACTTATCTGATTTTAAAATTGGTAACACGGTAGGTTGATTCCAGTTGGTAGGAAAGTTCCCGCTAATCCAGATGTTGTTTTATTTTTCCCAATAGCCACCTCAATGTGATTTCTGAAAAGTGTTGTAACATGGCATAGTGTATATAGTCTGGCCCAGGTGAAGATCCCTTGACGTCTTGCAGTATTGATAGCAGTTTCCTAAGAGTGAATGGAGTGTTACAGTCTTGAAATGGCTCAGTGGTGGAGAAGTCCAATTGCTGAGCTATGCTATGTTTATAGCCTTCAGTATATACTTGATAGTAATATTCTGCGAACTGTCTGTTTATTATATCTGGATTAACCTCGCAAATCTCCTGGACACGATCTCCTTACTTCCCAGATCCTCAGACAACTTCCAAAAAAAAAACGATTATATTCCTTACATACCTATTAAACTGTATCCTCCGCACAACTAACTTTCATCTGGTGTGGAAACACTACATAATTATCCTTTTTCCTAAACCAGGTAAACCTGTTAATTACACATCACCCTATAGACCGATAAGCTTACCTCCCGATTCTTTCCAAAATCTTTGAGAAAATCCTTCTCAAACGCATCCTACCCATACTCGAATCTCACAATATCCTTTACCATCAGTTTGGATTCCGCTCAAGACATTCCACTGTTCAACAAGGCTTTCGCATTGTGGACCACATATCTTCTGCACTTCAAAACAACAAATATTGCACTGGTACCTTTTTGGACGTAGCTCAAGTTTTCGACCGGGTATGGTACGATGGCTTGCTTTACAAGCTCAAAACCCATTTACCGCAACTCTTGTACCTAGTCCTACCTTTCAAATCGCTCCTTTCAAGTACGCTGCGGCACTGAACTCTCCAAGCATTATCCAATTGAGGCTGGTGTTCCACAAGGCCCAGTTCTCTACATCTTCTTCACACCCGACATCCCTTCAGCAACATTTGCTGATGATACTGCCATCCTATCCTTCCACTCAGATCCTCTAATAGCATCCCGAAACCTGCAAAGACACATCTCCTTCATTGAGCAGAGGTGCAACAACTGGAGCATCAAAATTAATGAATCAAAATGCAAACATGTCACTTTCACTCTTCGACGTAGATCCTGTCCGCCAATCCTTTTTAATTCAATTCCTCTTCCCTGCTCAATCACAGTCCGATACCTTGGCTTTCTTCTAGACAAAAGACTAACTTGGAACCCACATATGAGACTTAAAAGACAAGAGCTTAACCGACGATTTGGTCAGCTATATAGACTACTAAACAGAACATCTCATATCTCAACAGAAAACAAATTATTAATATACAAGACCATACTGAAATCTATCCAGACCTCAGACTTGAACTGTGGAGGATAACTAAATCACCGAATATCAAACGTATCCAATTCTTCCAGCCCAAAGTCCTTCGAACAATAGGCAATGCTCCATATTATATCACGAACAAAACCCTACACCATGACCTTAACATCCCATATGTCCATGACATCATCCCATCCAGATTCTCCAACTTTCACCAGAACCTTATTCATCATCCCAATCCTCTAGCGCAATCCCTATCCAGCTCCGAGCATCCATACCATCCCCCTCGAAGGTTGAAACGGCAGTGGCCTCGAGATCTTTTGTAAATATGCCTTTGGAGTCCTGGCAATGGCCAGCTTCTCCACTCATGTCCTGAGCGTCTGTGGCTCTAGTGCCCTCTTTCAGTCTCCACTGGCTTCTAATACTAGTGATGCGGCTGGAAAAGTGGCACTGGGTTCTCCTGGAGTCTTGCTTTGCCTTCCACATGTGGGGGAAAAAGCCTGGCTCGGAGATTCTTGGCGAATGTATATATTGTATATAGGTATGATTGTGTTTAGAAGTTTTTATTATATTTTATTTGTTTATTTATTTATTTTTTATTTACTTTTTATATTTATATTTATTTCTTCATTATTTGTATATATTTTATGAATGAGAACTTTTAGCCCTAATACGTAGAGCCCTCCAGCAGTGGCTCATTGTATTATTATTCAATAAATGGATTTAAAAAAAAAAATCTGGATTATCAGTTTCCCTTCGCATATCAGGGTATATCTGCAAGTAGAGCTTGTTCCTCTAATTTTCTTAATTCTATCCCATACTACTTTGCAAAAAGTAGAAGAGTAATCCTCAGTAAATTCTAATTTCCTTCCTTAAATTAATGATGTTTACTATGGTATGTACAACGTCTTAGATGTTCAGTCACATAATAAAAAGTGACCTTAGGATGGGTGCATTTCAAAGACTGACAGGATAAAGGCTAACCACTTCCCTAAAAAAAATAGAGTGGATAAATGCAAAGTGCTCTTTGGCGGTTATAAAAATGGTCTTCATTGAAAGATTTTGTTTAGCAATGAGAAAATTTTTACAATTAAAGGAAAATTTAAATGGCAAAATGATTGTGTGTACGCACACAGCTCTAAAGAAGCCCAGGAAGTCTTTGGAAGAGTGGAAAGAGGTCATCACCCTTCCTCAATGATGGTTTGGTGGGGAATTATCTTTGATGGCACCACAAAGCTCTATTTTTGTGAAAAAGGAGTTAAAACAGCGGCTAAAAACTATCAAGACGATGTTTTGGAACCTGTTGTCAAGCCTCTAAATGATACTCTGTTTGCTGGAAGTCATTGGGTTTTCCAGCAAGATTTCGCTCCAGCTCACAAGGCCAGGTCAACTCAGCAGTGGCTGCAAAAGAACATTCCAGAGTTCATCTCTGCCTCAGATTGGCCCTCAGGAAGCCCTGATCTCAACCCACTAGATTATCGGCTTTGGTCCAAACTGGAGAGGATGGCATGCCCAGCACATCCTAACTTGGAAAGCCTCAAACAATCTCTGGTCTGAGCAGTTGAGCGCTTTCCTCAAGAAGTGCTGCGTGCTGCTATTGATGACTGGCCACAGAGATTAAATGCCTGTGTCAAGGCAAAAGGGGACATTTTGAGTAATTTCTTTTTTGTTTTACTCTCTATAGATATACATTTTATTTTCTAATAAAGTTTTTGAAAAAATTAATTTTTCTGTTGCAATCTGTATATATTTCCTTGTAACAATATTTATGACAGGACTAGGTATACTGTTTAACCAATTTGTGTCTGCTTGAAAATTGATTCTAATACTGTACGTTTATAGCTATTTTGTTCACTAGTTATTAACAGATAAGTTTAAGTCAAAAGTTAATAGAATAACTGCTGCGACTGCCTTTATATTTATAAGGGGAGTCTACAGTCAGTGGGTCACCGATTTAAACCAATTTTTTTTTTTGTGATACTACATCGAAAAATATTGGACATGTGTCCCAGCGTTTGTTACAATGGGTAGGAGCCAAGAAAAAAAAATTGTATAATTTTACAACAAAATTTATGTTATTTATTTTTAAATTTGACTTGTCCAGATTTTTAGGTTATTATATACCAATTGATTTCTTTTATGTGCAGAATAAGAAAAAAATATTGACTATAATATTAAATGCGATGTAATGTATCATAAATAACAAAAACCAAAAGGAGCTTCCTGTAAAGTCAATTTTTTACAAGAAATTTTTTTTTTATGAAACAGCAAGTTAGATTCGTTTTTATTGTCTTTTGAAACTGTTATAATTTTTAGCTATTATATAATTTTTTATAGAAAACAAAAATTAGATCTATGTACTTGATTTTCTTGGAGGATTTTTTTACATATCAACAACTAAAGCATTCATAACTTCTTTCTCCAAATACAACGTTAATACATCCATTGGAAAATTGAATTACTGCTCTTCCAACGCTCATCAACAACTTTTAGGTTTCATTCCTTTTCAAGCTAGACATTAAGAAAAACTTCTCGATTATTTTTATTCTATACCTTGGGTTCTAATTTGTTTATGAAGCTTGTAGACCTGGAGCTAAGGCCGAAAAAGCTGTAGTATTTTAAGTAAATTTTCAACCTAACAGGCTGATAATACTACTTTTAGGTATTACGAAAATGCTCGCCTGCCAGCTCGGACAGGTCGATTTAAGGCCGTTTAGAAAAATAATATTATGTTTGGCAGATAGTTACAGTAAGAGGACATTTTGGACTACCCAATGTGCAATGTGGAATAAATATTTTTTAGGGAGAAACAAAGCTGATATTTGGTTTTAGCACCTCAGAAAACCAATAAATACGAATATCTAGGTATTACAATAGTACTTTTCAAGGGCACTCAATGTTCTTATATGTGAATATAAGACAGTTTACACTATGATTGTTCATTATCTAGTCATATAAAAATAGTTGTTAATATTAATTGTTATTTGTAGATGATTTGATAATGAGCTAGTTTGAATCAGTTTGAAACGTCGGAAGTAGAATAAAAAATTTGAAAGTATAAAGGCTTATATACTCCTTGAAGACACCATATATAATAACCAATAAATACGAATTTTTATAGCAATCAAAAAATTTAATTTTTGTCTAGGCTGGATCCTTCGAAATTTTTTCGACAACAACAATTGTGATAACTTCAGGATGACTTCACCAATTCACACAAAAAATGTTAGGGATTTAAGAATATACTACATGGTATTGTTCAAACACAAGCTCTGTAAACAATTTACTAGACTGTAGACCCCCATTGTTAGACTTTTTTTTTCAGTTATGTTTCAAAAGACAGCAAATCACAATTTTATCTCCTGACATTGCACGTGCGCTTTAAAAATGTATAAAGCAAACTCAAATCTCAAGAAATTAAAAGATTAGTCAAAGTAAACATTGGCATAAATAGTAGGAACAAAAATATTCTTATAGGATTAAATATGAGAGTTGGAATCAAGAGTAGTGTTCATGTACGAGGACTTTTATAACAACCGAGTACTACAACTCAAAATATATGAACACATAAAACAAAGCCCATTTGAAATAATAATCATAAAAAATAATAATAACCTTTAAAATTCAACAAATTTACTATTTTTATAAAGATAATATTAGAAAAAATAAATAAAAGTGGCCTATTCCATTGAAAACACAATAATATGGCCAGAAAGAACAGTAACCAGAAAAACTAATAAAAACTCTAGTTCATAATTATATAGATTAAAAAAAATTACTTTTCCAATCCCGCAACGAACAAGCATTTCAGCTGCAACACTGCCAACTCCTCCAATGCCGACAATAGTGATACATAATTTTCTTATCTTTTCATAATTGTTAACTATACCCATTCTTTTCAATGCCATTAAACGGCTAAAACAGAACACAAAAAACAACAAATTAATATTTAAAAAATAATATATTGAGAAAATTATGTCTACTTATCCTAATATTATGATTTCATCGAGAATTTAAATTAGAAAAATGTACAGTTTAATTGCTGAAAAAATACATAATTACATACAAGTTTCCTTTATATATATATATATATATATATATATATATATATATATATATATATATATATATGTATATGTATATATACATATATAAAATAATAAAAAAAAAAAAAATTAATAGCATAGATAAATTTAAGGTTAACACATATAATAAGCTAATTTGCATGGTGTATGTAAACTTAACAAATAAACTCCTCCTGCAAATGATTATGCTGCAAGAGAAAATATAATAGCAACCACACTACAAAAGCCTGTATATGTTTCTTTAATCAACGCTGTTCTTGTCGAACAGGTGTGTTTTCCAGCTTCTTATCATGAACCTTAACTTCATTTAGTTATGAGCCAATATGCCCTATGTATGTTATTTGTCTCACCAAATTTCTCTATGCTCTCTTTTTCACTTCCTAAAAATATATGTAAATATAAAAATTAAAGAAAGAAGGAACTACCAAATTTCTCTAAAAAGGGAGGTCTACTTTAGAAAAAGATAAAAAATGTCAGTATCCCTATAGAATAGTAATGAAGGATAAAGAAATGAAAGAGACCAAAGCAAGGATCCAGAGCTATTAAAATTTCATAGCTTTATTAGATTTAATATTATTAGATAATGCAGGGCTTAAAAAAATCTTTCAAAAATGAGATTTATTTCGAAATTTCAAAATTAGGGTATTTTTAAGGACCAGCATGATTGAAATACTACATCCTGGTCTAAAGTCTGAAGTGATGCACTGGTTAAAAGATTTAACTTATACCAGGTACCAATCATGTCTGACACTAAAATTTCACAGTTTCATAACCACTTTACATGAAAAACATTATTTTTAAATTCTTTCTTTTTTATTAATAAAAGGCGTATTTAGGCAATTATGTTTATCATAATACATCTCAAATTATGAAAAAATAAGAAATAAAAGCTTTTCAACCGTTATTTATAGTAATTTTTGCTGAAAATATGGGTAGTTTTAGATGAAATATAAAAAAAAATCACATATTTTTTTTAACACAACTTGAGATGAATCTCAAGTTTTTGCCTAATAAAACAGAACTTAATTAATATGGACTTGAATCGTATTAAACGAGGAAGTTTATTTTAAAATGGGATATCTGTAGTATACTTGGATGATAAAAAAAATCACAAATAAGTTATAATTTTTTTAGAAACAGGACTTTGCTTAGTTTAGCCGTTCAAACGTCTTCTTTAAATGACAAACTTCATTTTAGTTAGCAGTAAATTTTGTTCCAGTTTATATTGAAGCAATTGATAATTATATAAATTAAATTTTTCTACTTAAAAATTAAAAGAGGATTTTATTAAAAATGTTGCCGGTGCTCATTCCCTACATAATGTGACAAATAAGAGAGGTGAATTTCTATGTCTATTTGCAGAATCAAATAATATGGTAATAAAGAGTACATACTTCCCTCATAAGGACATTTATAAAGGAACCTTGGAAGGTGCCTAATGGTGTAATAACTCAAATAGATCATTTCCTAATTTCTAAAAGACATAGCTCCTCAATAATATATGTTAAATCTGCACGTGGTCCTGATTGTGACACCGACACCGACCATTATATGGTTAGAATTAAATTTAGAGAGCGACTCACAAAAGTCAAACTTGGAAAACATCACAATAGGAAACGGTGGAACTTGGAGACACTAAAAGATCCAAGTAAAGTCGTAGATTTAAAAGAATCAATGGGTAAAAATATGGAAGAAAAACTGAAAGAGGACGCAGAGGAAGATGAGGAAGTAGAAAAGACATGGCATAGAATAAAAACCGTAATGATAAAATCGGCGGAGGAGGTAGTCGGTTTGGAGGATAGGAGTAGAAGAGAAGAGTGGTTTGACGATGAATGTTTGGAAGCATTAAAGAAAAAAAAAAAAAACACCGATTAGAGATGATGCAGCGTTCTACTAGACAAAGTGTGACTGAATATCAGACGTATGAATATAGTCGTAGAAAAGCTAAAAAACTTATACAAAGAAAAGGATATACATGAAAAAGAAAATTGAAGAATTGCATACCAATAACAAAACAAGAAAATTGTATGCAGCTATAAGATACATAAGCTGCGGCTTTCAACCAAAAGTGGACACCTGCAAAGATAAGAATGGCAATATAATTGAAGAGAAAAGACTAGTCATAGACAGATGGGCCAAGCATTTTGGTGAGTTGTTGGATAAAAGTGAAAATGAAGAAAGCAATACTGGGGTATTGATCCCAAACGACAATGACATTGAGCCACATGATATAGAAGATGTAACCAAAGCGATACAAAAGCTAAAAAATAATAAAGTATCAGGCGAAGATTTACTAATAGCCGAATTCTTTAAAGGTAGTAGCCAGAATATGCTCACACATATATATAATTCGGTCTTGGAGATATTGATGAATGAAAGCATGCCTCAAGAGTGGAGGACTAGTTTGATTTGTCCTATCTTTAAAAAAGGAGATAAACTGCAATGCAGAAATTATTGAGGAATATCCCTCTTGCAGGTAGCATACAAAATATTCTCGAATATTATCCTGATGAAACTAAATGTCTATGCTGAACGCATTCTAGGAGAATATCAGTGTGGGTGCCGTAAAGGAAAAGGAACAGTCGACCCAATTTTTGTAATGAGACAATTATTAGAAAAGTGTTGGGAGTACAAAACTACAATTCATGTTCTCTTCATTGATTATCCCAAGCCTTTGACAGCATTAATAGGAGCAACTTGATTAAAGCACTAATAGAATACAACATTCCGAAAAAGATGATAAGATTGATCCGGATGACTCTAAGCAATAGCAATGCCAAAGTGGTACTGTAAGTAATATATTTACATTATCAAACAGTGTAAGGCAAGGAGATGATCTGCACGCCACTCTCTTCAACCTAGCATTACATAAAGTAGTTAATAGAATAAATACGCAGGGAAATATATTTCATTCAAGCATTTAAATCTGAGCATATGTAGATGACATAGCTCTTGTTGCCAGAAGTGTTCAAACCCTTACTGAAATTTTTAATATTATTTATGCTGAAAGTAAAATTATGGGTCTTGAAATAAATGATTTAAAAACAAAGTATATGTCCATTGTTTCAGACAATTTAAGAAATTCCCATAATCTTGTGGTGGAAGGACATGTTTTCGAAAACATCAATACCTTTACCTATCTAGGAGCAGAGATAAATAATGAAAACAGAATTATGACTGAGGTGCACAGAAGGATAATGGCCACTAACTGTGCGTATTTTGCAAATTTAAAGCTTTTTAAATCATCCTTGATATCTAGAAAAATGAAAATAATGGCACAATGATGTATGTTTATTCCCTTGGCAATGAAAAAATCCATAACATCAGGAATCCTGTTAGCATCCGTGGGCCAATATGTCTATGTGTATGTGGGCCTACACGACACTATAGGTTGTGATATAATAAAAATGAAACTAGAAAAATTGGTTTACCAAGTATTAGGTATACACAATATCCTTTATCCTAGAATAAAAGCTCTTTAGCCAATATATTTTGTTGATTTAGTCAAAAATGACAAAAGTTGTCAAATTTTTTCATTACAATTTCTGTATTATACGAAAATCATTGTTGAAGAACCGAGAAGACGCAATGAAATCGTCCAATGCAAGCGTTGCAAATCCCACGGACACACAAAATCATATTGTAATTTGAAGCCGAGATGTGTGAAGTGTACCGGATTACATCTGACAACGAGCTGCAAAATAAATTCTAGACACTCCGCCTAAATGTGTCCTCTGTGAAGAAGCACACTCAGCGAACTATAGAGGCTGCTCTGTACACAAGGAATTAAAGTAACTTAGATAGCGCCCAGCAATGAGAAGTCTTGCATTTTATGAGGAACAGGGGACGAGTCAGCCTACTAAGAAAGAAAAAGAAGACCCCTCGAAAATCGTGAAGAATTCAGCAGGTAATCTTGAGCCACAGTTACAACTACTACCCGACTATATACAGATACAGAACATTGTTACAGAACCAACTTACTCATATAAATTGATGAGACCAAATGACACACTTAAACCTAATCTTTAACCAAATAACAACTCAAACGTCCCAGACCTATACTTACTTGCACGGCTGAAACATGGACGATTACTGCCACCATGACAAATTCGTTAAGGGTTTTTGAGAAAAAGATTCTGAGAAAAATATTTGGCTCCTTGTACGATGAAACAACTCAAGCATAGAGGATTAGAACCAATATAGGAACTATATGATTTATTCGATCACAGTGAAATTGTGAACTTTATAAAATCACGACGGATCGAATGGTTAGGGCACGTTCTTAGAATGCCAGATGAAAGAATCCCAAAAAAGATGCTCAAAGGAAGAATCTACGGTGTCAGAGGAAGGGAAAGGCCGAGAAAAAGGTGGTTGGAGGATGTGGAGGACGACCTCAGGTGGTTAAGAGTTACAAACTGGAGGGAAAAGGCTAAGGACAGGGACATCTGGAGAGCTGTTGGTCAGGAAGCCAAGGCCCATCCCGGGCTGTAGAGCTATCGGAGAAGAGAAGAATTTTTCTTCACTTATCACTTCCTATTCAACAAAAATATGACTTACTTAAAAAAGACCACAAAACTTGGATTTCCAACTTTTTGGCCCATTGTTTATAAAAACTTTTTTGTAGTACTTGAGGTCTGCTATCACCCCTATAAAAATTCCCCTTTACTTACAGGACTCCCTGTATGTATGTATCTGTGTGTGTGTATTGGGAATTATTGGGAATTCTTCTTACTACCTAAAAATAGTCAAAACTTTTAAATGAAAAATTTAGTAGACACTATTGCTTGCAAATTTGTGAGTATTATACCCTAAATTGTTTTATAATAATGA